TATAATCCCTCCTTACCTGAGAAGACCCTGCCTCATTGCGCCGCTGCTGGCCTCTGGTCTAATGTCTCCTCCCTGACCTTTTGCTCTTTCTACTGTGACAATAAAAATGTATTTTAAATATGTGTTTGAGCGCACAAGCACAGTTTCAGCAACTCCTACAGCACATCTAAAAACAATTTTCTCTGCAAAAAAAAAAAAAAAAAAGGCAAATGATAGCATTTAGTGCAACACGTACTTTTGTCTTGCAAAGATGTCATAAAACAGGAAGTTAAATTAGAAGGCGGCGAAATTTAGCCGAGCTGCAGTGATCAGAATAGAATGAAATAAAGAATGCATTAACGTTACTGGTCAGATTTGCAGAAAAGTTGTGATGATTGTTGAAAATGGAAGTCTGCACAACATTTCCAAGTAAAGAGGGGATTTGTGTAAATGCGTTCGCAACTTCCTGGAGGGACTGGAAGACGTCTGCACAGAGGAGCCTGGTGCCGTCATGACTTTGATTATTCATGTCGTGTGTCTTGCAAACATATCTGTGGCTACAACTCATCAGAGATTTTTAGGGAACATGCTAGGCAAATTTTGAGCTGGAGAGAACAGCACACATCTCCAAACTGTGCATACGAGCCAATTGGTCTGAAACCAAGGGAAGTTGTCGGTTTTTAGTCTGTATTCGAAAGGCAGAAAGCATCTTTGATGCCATCAAAGAAAAACCCTGGTGTTGTTTACCACTGAGAAAAGAGAAGCGGAAGGAAGAAAAACACAAGCAGTGGCTCATGGAGTTTACAGTTGCAGCTCGACTGAGAATTCAACGCCTCGTTGTGATAATCAGATGGCATTTTTGTGATTTTTCTAGTTGATTTTCTAAGCTGCAGAATTGTTAAGGAAGTGCAGATATGAAAATTTGGACCAATATCTATGGCTGGTTTTGATACCACCACCATGGCAGAATTTAACATTTTTGTTCGAATACTTGATTGTCGGAATGATCAACAGAGAACTCGATTACTAAAATAAAACCTTAAAACACTCCTAATTTACACTGAAGTTGAAGAATTTGTCCCAATTTGTCTGAACCAGCAACAGTCGTCTTGGAGGCTGCAGGATTAATTACGGCTCCTGAGCCGGGTTTTAATTCAGCTACATGCATCATCTTCTATAAAGGAATGTCTCTCTGAGATGTTACAGGAAACACACAATGCCTGACGGGCAAAGGAAATAAACCAACGTCTCGTACCAGCAGCAATGATCCAAGGATCTACTCCCACTTTGGAGTTTTCTGGCAAGACGCTGATCAGCCAGTCCTCCTGTGACGGTGTCTCCTTCAGGCCTGTAAGTATTTAAAAGCAGCACAGTACATCTTGAATTGCACAACTAACTTAGGTTTTAAAGATGCTTATAATGTTATTTGACCCTTCTTTTTAAGGGTCCAGTCAACCAAAACACCAATGAGGAGGCTCACCCATCTTCATCAGAGCCCAATTGTTGTCCATCTGCTGGCTGGCCTGGAGGAAGTATCGTCCGTCTGTCCACATGGCAGCATGCTGCTCTGTGATAATGGCTGTTCCTGAATAATGAAGCAGAACGAAAGAGCTGCTTAGCTTTCTGTTTGTTACACACAGGATCACCTTAAGAATGACCGGGTCTGAGGAGTTTTAAATAGTAAAATATCTGATTACAGTAGAGGATAATCAGTGAGCTCGTCTTCATTACAAAAGATGCCTGCTTCTAAAGCGAGGCTTGTCTCAACAACAAACAAACAAACACAGCTTTTACATAAAAAGATTAATAGCAGGTGATTCTCAGCAGGTGCTTAGAGCAACTGCTTACTTCTGCTAACATCCAAGCAAACCATACCTGCAGAACCATTGAATCCACAGATGAATTCCCGTCTGCAGTCACATGGTGCAATGTATTCACTCTGCAAAAGAAAAGCAGGCCCAAAACAGCATTAATTACAGTCAGTCCGTACACGAGTCTGGTTGACAGCGAGAAGACCCTCCTTCTGACTCTGATTGGTTGCTTCTGATCCAACTCTGTATTTCTGAAGATGGCAGTAGCACCACAGCAAAGAGGGAGAGGAGCTAAATGTTTTCACAGAGTGTCTATTTCCTGTTATACAATCACAATACTGTGACAGTTTTAACAAATGTGTGAAAAAAAGAACATTGTTTATGAGTTACATACTGCTGCTTTTACGTTGGGAACCATATGACAAAATAAACAGCATTTTTAAGCCGATGCTGGGTCTGCTCTTTTATCATGCCTGTGGGTTTTGCAAGTGGAGATTTGATCCGAGAAGAGACAAGTTTTGAGCGCCAGGAGGAAAGGTTTGAGAAAGCAGGAAAGAAACTGCGTTTGGTTGTGCCAGTACTGAAGTTGTGCCAGTACTCACAACTTCAATATTTGAAGCTGTGAGTTCAAGCATTACAAGTTTTGAGAAGAAAGCCCTGTTGTCGAAATAAAAATGTAAGCACAAATATTAACAGTTTTGAGAACAAAAGACATGATCTTGCTTTTAGACCAAAAAATATGTGCTCTCAAACTATGGCACTGGAAAAATTTCCCCATACATTTTGGTCAAATCTCTAGATATGCATAAAATTATACTCAAATCAGGAAGTATTGCGTAAATAATGTGTATGTTTTTTTTCTCTTACCTGATGTGCATCTCCAGACGGGACTATGTAAGCATGGATTGGCTCTGAGAAATATTTGCAGTTCCTCATTGCCTGCCGAAGAAGCCGCAGAAGCTCCCCTGTGATCTTTGGAGACATAGCTGTGTCTGCAGTCAAGAAAACAAAATTATATATTTTCTGTCTGAGCAATTAAAAACAAACACTTTCTTATGAGTACATTTTACGAGTTGAAAAGTAGTAGTTAAGATAAAAAAAACTTCCATCCTTTCTTGGTTTTTGCTCATTAGCTGCATTTTACCTGACTTTTGAGAAGCCATGTCGACTGCAGCGGCACTCGGCCTGACTGACTCTACGTGGAGCTCAAAGTCACAGACCACACCTGCATCTTTAACCTGCCATAATGTGTCAGTTCAGCAACTATGACAGCAGTCAGGGTTAAATATTACACAAGCAAACTCACCCAAATTAAAGGTGCATCTCAATGATTCAAAATGTCATCAGAAAGCAGGCCGAAAATTTAATTTTGGTCGATTTAAGCAATTTAATTACCGTATTTTCCAGACTATAGAGCACACCATACTATAAGTCGCAGCCGCTCCTTATATTATATAAATATATACATACACACGCTAATATCAGTTTTTCATAAGGACCCCGCAGAGGGCCTCGTCCTAATAAATCTTCTGGATTTATTAAGGATGCAGCCCTGCGTCTCCAAAGCCGAACCACGGTTTCGTTCATGTCGAGTTTAAGAGCAGCAGCTCTATTTCCCTCCTGTACTGCCAGATCGATAGCCCTCAATTTAAAAGCTGCTTCACATGAGTTTGAAGAAACTTCTCCGTCAAAGAAGAAATTAGCACTTTCTTCTTTGATTTCTTCCCCTTCGGGCGGGGGAAGAAAAATACAGAGAAACCGCACCGGGCTAAAAGCCGCATGGTTCGAAGTGCAGGAAAAAAGTAGCACCTTACAGTCTTAAAAATACGGTAGTTAAAAAATGTAAGTGTTCTATAATAGTAAAAAGTACGTATGGAAATGATCTTGGCAGTATAAGTAAAAAAAAAAACATTAAATAACATAATAAATACTAATAATAGCAATAATCACCATCTCTTTCTTACCAAAAATGCTTTGGGCAGAAAATGATTTAGGCTATTATTTTTGGAAGGTGGCTATATTCTTATTTATTGCACCTTTACCTAACAACCTCCAGACACAAGGCCGTGTTTTCACGGCGTCCACGTTAACTTATGGGCGACACGCCACAACGTCAAAAAAAAAAAAAAAACACAAACCGACCAATCACGAGTCAATGCTATTCGTCGATGAGCTCTCCTATTGGCTAAAAGCTCTGCGTGATTGTTTACAACTTCACAAAATGAAAAAGAAGAATTATTCCAATTCCCTTCATAATTTAGCAGCTATTTATCATCATGTACAATATTAATAAATAAGTAAATATGCTGTGGCGTAGAAATATATGTATTTAAAAAATAAAAACTCTGGCCCTGCGGAGGTTTTTTCTTTTTCTTTTTTTTATTCCTGTGCAGCCAGGATCAACAGGCCGACGATAATCAGTAACTCATTTACGTGGTGGGTGTGGCGGTGTGAGGGGGTAATAAAGATGAATGCGCTTCTCTTCTCGTAAAAGAGACCGATGTAGCCCTGCTTTAAATCTGCGAGCAGCAGATCCCAGACCCAGGTCTGGTTAAAGCCGATCTGATAACAGTCCGCAGTTCCCCCTATGAGAAGCTCGAACCCTCCGAAGCAAGGCTAGCTAAAGCACCGCCACGATCCGCCGGCGAAACACTGAATACACACCCGCTCTTCCGCCTCTCAAAAGTGTCTCCGGTGACAAAAATCGAAGCGTATTTTTGTTTACCAGCTCGGACCTTGTGTCAATTTACTAAACAAGGAGGCTGCCATTTCGTCGCTGACGTCACTGGTCACATGATCGCGGCTTCAGCCAGTAGACGCAGAGGATCCAGACTCGCCTCTTCCTCCATTAAGTCTATTGTGAAAAGTGTTTGCTGTCTGTGTGCGGTTCTGGGTTGGCGATTTTTGGACGTTCAAGTTAAAGAACGTCCAAACATTTTGAGGACTATCTTATATAATTCTTGATTTTGCTATAGCAGTATGTGCCTGGAAAATTGATATTTTAAAATGTAGCTCACAAACAATAAAACTCCATGCCCAAATGAATGACAATAAATGTGGCACTTCTACAAAAAGAAAAGCAGATATACCAAAAATTAATTTATAAATATTTATAACCTCAACTGGTTCCTCAGTAAAAACCTGGAAGATCTTAATTTGCACATAAAATTTATACGGATTCACATTATTTGTTCGATGAGGACTACAGTATCTGGTTGGTAGAATTTATTGTTCAGTCTTATAATAGGAGGATCCATGTGTCTCCACTGATGATTCGCGGTACAATCTGGTTTTATAAAGAGACTGCAGACGTCAGCAGGAAGGCAGCAGCACACAACAGACACAGCGAGGAGATTTCCAGCATCACCAGCTGCCCTGCAGAACCTCCTGAAGAAATCAGAGCGGAACATGCAGGTTATTCAACACAGGAATCATACGCCATAATCGTGGAGCTTTGAATCATAATTTATCTTAGACACAGATTCAGTTTTTTTCTTAATCAGATCATGTACAGCATGTAATCGCTTGCTTTTTTCAAACTCATATTGTTTAGATTTTAATATGTCTTCTGATTGGTTAAAATTTCTCTCTCTATTTTTTTAAATATTTCTGTATGCTCAAAACACAATGAAAATCACCACGTTAGAGCTCAAAGGGGGGAAAAAAAATACTTGAAACCCATAAAACTAAAACCATAACTTGAAGAGTCAAGGATGTTGTTGCTTTTAATTTAATTTTGAACATGAAAAACATTTAAGCCTACTGAACATAAGATCTATTGTTTTTTTTCCTTTTATTTTAAGGACTGTTAAGGTTATTCCTATTTTCACAAAGCCCTTCATTTTTTATTTTCGGTTTTAATAGCAGCACATTTTGAAGCATTTTATTCCTATTTTTTAGCCATTAATAAGCGCACAGTGTAGCAGCAAAGGCCGGAAGATGTAGGACTTTACTGCTAACCATTTCATGCCCTCATTTTGTTGCCACTTTGCCTGTCTCCTTCCAGTTTTAGCTTTTGTGCATTAATTTCCTCTTTTTGCATTAAACCGTGGCATATCAGTTTATTTTGTATTGACAATTAAACATTTTTGATGAATTATGAAGGGAAAAACTTCTACACATTTTCTAAACTCTCTTCTGAATATTTTCTGTGACCTCTTTAAGTGTATCGCAAATCCTTGTTTTTGTCACTTGGTGCTTCTCATTGATCGCTGATCAAATCAAAGCTATTCACAGTGACCTCCTCATAGTCGACAACATTCAGCTCAATTCAGTTTTTAACTGTTTGTTTTACAAACAGGTGGCAGTAACAGTGACCCCACAGTTCTTACTGTGCCTCTTTGTCCTTTTTGTCCACAAAAATCAAAGCATCTGACTTTAAAAGGTGTCTAATTACTCTTTTCAACTAAAGGAGAATTCAAAAGCAGGAACTTAAGAGAAATTATTGAGCGTACTCACTTGCACATGGGCTAATTTCTTTGAACGGGCCCATCAGCTCACTGCTTTTGACAGACTCAAGAAGTTGTACTTCGACAGCTCCTTTAAAGTACACAAAGTCATACAAAATATCACTGTTACGCTAACGGTCGTCAATGAGAAAGCACATCAACATTTTGTTAATTTCCAGGTTGATGAAAGCCCATCATATCGCTCTAATGTTGATAGTGGTGGAGGGTCTTATTGCATAGGTAAACCTTTCACCTTGTGAGAGACATGTAAGGGTATAATTAGCTGTTCTGTGCTACACTGTATAAACCCTTCGTACAGACGCCGCTCTGTTTCCCCCCGGTGAAAGAGGAATAGGCAGAAAATGAGATGCAGAGACACTCAACTCCAGTGTTAGGTTACTGAGCGGGTTTTGGAGGATTTCTAAAGATATTCAATGCCAGTAATTGTTCATTGTCGTGATTTTGGGACTTACAGACTTCCCAGTTTTAATGTGATAGCTTCAAGCACTTAAAGGCCCATGGCAGTACTTTAAATTTGAAAGTAAATACAGCATACAGCATCCTGAAAGCTGCTAGATTCCTAGATACAATTTACTTCTGTTAGTGTCAATTTATTTGACTTTTACTGCTAGTGCTGTTGCTTTCAACGGACAGGTTTCAGAGGTAAAACCCTTTTTGTTTTTAACAGGGACTAATTGCTTAATGAAATAACGTCACAACAACTAGAATGCAACGAGTCGGAACATGTTTACGTCGTTACATCACTAAATCAATCCTAACCTGCAGCAAAGTTTTCCACAGTTAGTAATAACCATAACAAAATCATGCTGTAAACATCTGAGATGTATTTCTGAAGACAGCAATTGCCACTAATTTTGTTTTCCTCTTTACCTGACACCATGAACTTGACCGTTTGGCACTTGCAGTCGTTTGTACAGAAGGGAGAGCCGGGCAAGATGGTTATCCTCGCCATTTCTGCCTTCAGAATATCTCCAACTCTCCTCCGGAAATCATACCTGGGTATGCACAGAAATAAATAACTTTTAGTCTTGTGTAAACAAAAAAAACATACTCCGACCAAAAAACAATCCTCCTGAACTGTTCAGTTCTGCACAAAACTGAACCAAAAACTCAACCAAACATAGAAAAGGTTTAACCCATAAATGTCTGTGTTTATGCCAACATAATGACATTAATCCTATTTGTTTCCAGACTACCACTTTCTGTTTGCAATAAAAACATTAGTAAGGTTGCATATTGCATAATGTCTATCTCTGCATACTTCCTGTTTTTGTCGGCTATTGGACATGACTGACAGCAAGATGTGCAAACAAATCAATAGTCAGCCTGTGTGAAGAGATTAACATAGAACAAGAGATGCAAACTGAAAATCAAGACAATAACAAAATCTGTCAAACGATGCAATTTAGAAATGAGGTATAAAACTCATTATAGTTGACCTTAATATTTACAACCAGATGTTCCCCATAACTGGAATGTTCCAAATGAATTTAAATAGACAGAATGAGTGTTTTTAGAAATAATACTGTTTTTACCAGGTGAATTCTGAGAGAAATCAGAACATTTTGTTACTCACCGGCTAAATGAGCTCAATTTGGGAAAGTTCTGTTCTTCAGACTGAGATTCTGGGAGGATGTCGGCACATGCAAGGATTTTGTTGCCATTCTTCAGCACAAGAGACCTGTAGACAACTTGAATCACATACAGAATAATAAGTCGAGACATTTTTTTTTTGGATTCAACAAAATGATTAAGATCTACTACATTATTAAGCAAAGCATCGTGTTTCATAAAAGATTTCAAGTGAACATAACTCAGTTCTCATATGTGTAACTGAACACCCTCAGCGATTAAAAATACTGATAATGTATCCTCTGATGACATTATGTTTCTTTAATGCATCCATGTAAACAAATATAGTGCTGCTGTTGTTGGTGATGTGGGCCGAAAAAATTAATCGGCTGATAATTCAGATCAGTTTAAGAATATTGTTTCTTAAACTGCTCAAGAAAAATCTTGATCAAATAGCTTATGATTCTTGAGAAGAGGGACAAAACAGGTTCTATGGATAAACCACAAAATGTGAATAAATTATACACAAAATATATATTTTTTAAATATCTGACTAAACTAACGTGGGCCATGTGAGCACAACAGTGTATGTTTTCCTGGTGTTTGCTGAATATTTTTCATTTTAAACTTTGTAGTAGGTGGATGAATCCAGAAAAGGGTTGTTGTACATTAAACTGTACAGCCATTGATGATGCTTAAGCCGATGACATTTCCCACTTCTACAGACACTCATTTCCAGTCCTCTCACTTGTGTAGTCTCCTGAGAGCTGGATGTTGCTGTCAGAGTAAACTTCCCTCCTTTTCAGGCTGACATTGCCATGCCTTGCAGAAAATTCTCCCACCACACAGCTCAACTGGTTTTGGAGCGAACAGCTGGAGCTCTGGAAGAGGAATAGAAATTACAAAGTTGCCACCATTTTTTTTTTTTAAATCCTCCATGGGATTAGACAGCGAGTTCCAGCGAGAAAAAGAAATTACACCCCCCAAAAAAGAGTCAAACTATTTAGGGTGAGACAGTGAATACCTGTTATCTGAGATTAATCATCATTTTATCAAGGCTCCAAAAGAACTTCCAGAAGTTATTGTTTTTGCAGTTTTCTGTAAGTAATTTTTCAATTTACATATCTTCTACAAGTGATCTAACAGTGGTGGAGGTGTTCCATAGTGGTTTTAAATTCTGTGAAAAAAAAACCCCAACTAACTACCTGAAGTATTTATAACAAGTCCGCTAACAACATCCTAAGTATGTGGCCACTTTCCGGGATGCTCTTCTCTTAGTTTGCTGTTGTTTCTTTAATGCAAAAGTGTTCCTCAAATTATCCTCAGATTATATTTGATAACATGTCCCCAACAGCCCGCCTCACCAATGGTTTCATGAAAAAGGGGTTGAAAATGTCTCCTACGCTGGTACACAGTCCGCTTGTTGCACCCACACGGTTGCTTGCGATAAAAAGGGAGGCCGCAGGAATCTGTAAGCACATTTAATATACAAACAATGTTTCTGCTGCCTTTATTTGTTGCATTGATAGACATAAATACAAATACATAAATTATTAAGAATAGCAAACAGACATCTAGATACTCCAATCAATATCAATTAGCTTGTTCGCATAAACATGCTCTCTAATCCTTTTTTTCTGTTTATTTCTTATAGTCCCCCCTGAAGGTGGCTAAAGGCATTTTGCCATTGTAGGATTTTGAAACTTTTTCAGCTTCCAACACTAAAAATAGTGTTGAAGTTGACTGAAATTGACTTTGATTTTCAAAGATAATCTCAAGACTCCATACTTGTTCATTTGGGATCCTTGACCAGAGGTGGCTAAAGTTGTAATGTTTTACATTATTTAACTCTATTACTCTTTACTTACACTTTGACCCGCAGATGACTCAAGGTCCGTATCCAGTATGACATCACCGCTACTCCCATCAGGAAACATCTGCTGGTGCTTGAAGAGACAGAAACCAAAGGTGGCTGACATTAGTAGACATATAGATTATCGTCAGCTGATTAAAGTGATTTATACTGATGTGTGGATATCTGTTTTCTTTTTAATTTTCTTCCCAAATTATTTAGCCAGTCCAGAATAAGCTCATGTTGTCATTTCCGCCTTGAGGTGTAAAGCAAGACTCAGTGTGGGGCCTCTGGTTGGCAGCTGACAGAAACAGCTGATATCAGTGTGAGCCTCAGAGTTTAGTGAACAGACATTCACAGTTAACCAGCAGAAAGATGATAAGCTTTCTGCTGTGCTTACCTGTGCTTAGAGTTTAGATAAGGCCTAAACATATCCAACTGGCACAGAACCTGTAAGCACTGTGTCCAGGCCTGGACAGACCCAACTAATGTTGTTAAGTAAGCAGTGTAACGTCTCTTGTTTCTCAATTTAACATCTTCCAGCTCCAGTTTGTCGCTTGTTGTAACTGTAGTGTTGTCTGTGTACTGTACATACTGTAGATGTATCAAATGCGCCACAGAAATCCAATACCACACGAAGCGATCCGATCATCAACTTTGGCCCTATCTGGCCCAAATTTCGTGTCAGGTTTGGGGTTGGGCCATAATTCTAAACTCTAGCCCTGCTTCTCCTATTTCTCTCTGTTTGTTGTCTCTTTTGCTTCAAGCTCTCTTTTGTCATCTGTTAACATCTTCCCAATACTATTTACTAGAAATTTTGCTTCCTGTGAATCTAATGGCACTGCATGTTCTTGATATGTCTCTCTGAAAGGATTGTATGACCTCCTCTGTGGCCACCAAGTGCTCCAGAAGCTTGTTAATCATCCCTTCATTTAAGTCGAGTGTTTGGAAACAAGAAAACACCTAAAACAGTGGAGAGGGGCGCCAGCAGGGTATTATCGGAGGGTACAATACTATCAATGCACCTGACCCACAAGAGCACAACCACATCTCCAAAGCGCATGATGTGGGTATCCCACAAAACCAGCACAAACCTAAACCAAACAAACATATCATTTAATTTCCCTTTGGGATCAATAAAGCACTTTTGGATTTGAATTTTAATTGCTTATCCCAGTGGTGCCCGAAGTCGGTCCTTGAGGGCCGGCATGCTGTGCGTTTCAGTTCTCTCCCTGGTTTAATGCACCTGGCTCAAATGATGGCTCATTAGAAGGCATAAGACATGTTGAACAGGGAGAGATTAAAACCTGCAGGATGCCGGCCCTCGAGAACCACCTTTAGGAATCACTGGCCTAGCCTGTGGTTCTCAAACAAAGACAATACAGAATCAGACAATACTGGCATCCAGCAGCAGCCAAGGAGGAGATTAGATAAAGGTAATTATGGGTTTTTTTACCAGTGAGATTGTCCCAGTCACTGTTCTATCAAATTTGGCCATGGCAAGTGTCCATTGTCCATGTCTATTTCTGAGAGGTAAGATATTTGCACAGGTCATCCTGTAGAGAAAACACAGACACCTTGAAATAACCAAGCCCAGCAGATTTTTTCTGTCGCAATATTCTGGTTAGAAGTCTTTTCTGAAAGAGGAACATACAGAATCTTAGCATCATAACAACACACCAAGGATAATAAGGTCATAGCTTGAGAATTCACATAGGAACCCTCAATAGATCGGGATGATATGCTGCTGTGGCCAGATTAGAGTGAATCTTAAGATTTCTCTTTTATCTGCAAAGGCATCAGTGTGTTTTTTACATCTCTCTGACACTTTTTTCCTCACCTTCTTTATTTCATTAAATGCTTTCAAGAGAAAAGTACTTCCTGTTCTTTGGCAGAAATGTGAAACATTGACCTTTTGCACAAGGAATCTGTGGTTAGAATGAAAATGCTACTACCCAGTTCTTTTTGAGAAGAAAGAACCTATGGTTGTACTATGCAAAGCATTTCATAACTTCTACCGTTCTTCTTTATCCAGGTCAACTTATTTTTTCATTATTATCATAAACTTCAATGCTTGTTGGTTCTTACCATGATCCATTTGTGTAGTGGATTACAACAGATCTTCCCATGATGCTGTAAGGTCCAGTAAGCGGCATGTTTGGGTCCATAAAGACACTTTTAAATTGATTTTTCCCAGTAAGCATCCCAAACTTCCCACTGATGTCCCCGATCTCATACTGGTCCACTGTGCCTTCACCGGGTGAGGGAGAACTAGATGTGTTCCAGGCCAGTGGGTTAAAGCGGCCAAGGATGTTTGCAATGGAGCAAGGATCAATGCTGCCAACAATAATGGGCAAGATGTGGACATGGTAGCCTCCAGCTAAGAAATCCAGGTTTTTTAAGGACACACCGATTTTTGTAGGGCCTTGAGGGACATCTTGAGAGAATTTCACCTTGCCCTTGAATGGTCCAGGGTCTAACCAATTCCCTGACATCGCTGCAGTGACCTGCATCTCAGTAACATTGGCACACGCAATTCTTGGGCCTCCTTTTTCTGCTTCATGGATGACCACAGAACGACCAATAATGCCAAACATGTCTAACCAGGAAGTGACATCAGTGAAAAAGTGTTTGGAGTTCACGCCGCCTACGTTGGTATCAAGATTAATGGTGGTATGTTTGTTGGCAAGGTCACCAACCTCACAACATAGAGGGCAGGATGGTTTGCAATGAAGTGCGTAGCTCTGATCAGTTGTAATGATCTTAAAAGGATTCCAATGGCCTCCTGTTGTGACGCACCTCCCTTTATCATCGTCCCTCTCTGAGCTAATGGGGAATTCATGAACGTGCCAGTTATGGTTTTGGGTCGGTGTTGTTGTGGGATCTCCGTATGACAGATCCATAAAGATGGACACATCTGACAAGGGATTTTTTATCAACTGAGTAAAGATCATCTTTCCCACCACAGGGGTCTGAAATATGGCACTGGCTACTGTGACTGCACTAGGATAGCCTATGCTGGCACACGCATACCTATCACCATTGACCAGGTGAATCACAACTGAGCGACCTACAATGCTGTTCTGTCCAAACAGAGGAAGGTTGAAATCAGTGAATGTCATATCAAATGCACTTCTACCAGAAAGAGACATGTGTTTGCCACTCAGGTCACCTGTCTCATACTTGTCATGAGTTGATCCAGGCCCTGCAGGGTATGCTGGAGAAGTTGTGCCAATTCCAAACGGATTCCAGTGACCACCCACATTATCATTTGAACATTGGCCTGACCTGACTGAAGGGACGGGGAAATTATGGACATGGTAGGGCCAACTAATTTCCTCAAGTTTGTCAGATTCAAACTAAACTGTGTCACGTCAAACGGTGAAGCCTGGCGGAAGTTGAAATATCCACTGATTCCTATCATATTCACAACAGCTCTCACTTCTTTCTCTGGCATGTTGTATATCGGAGCACACTTATAATTGGACCCCACCCTGAGGAGAAGATACGAGTACTCTGTAAAGCTACTAAAATCCAAACGAGATTTCTGAGGTCTGAGAGGGTTTCCAACTTTCACACTGCCCAGATTTGTTAAAGTTTGTGGATTTAAGCCGTCAACCAGTACGTCACAATTAATTTCTGTACTTGTGGATCCAAAGATGATGATGCTGGTTTCTGGGGCATTCACCTGACCAATAGTCACTAGGTCAGCAAGAAGCCTAGGGTTGGCATTATTTACATTAGCACGTATGTAAATGTTACCAGCAACAGAGTCTGTGAATCTCGCCTGGCGAGTCAGTCGTGTCTGACCTTGACTTACAACTGTGCATACTTTAATGCCGTTACATGTCTCCAAAGACAGTGACAGGTCATCCAAGTTTGATTTTTTTTTAAAGAGGTTTGACATACTTATCGGGGATTTTGAGGAAGGATTAGCAGTGAAGGTGAAGATGCTGACACCAATGTTTGCCTCAGAGCAGGGTTGAGCAAAGTGGCCGAACATGAGGGGGAACACAGTGAGGGAAATGTTTACTGCAGTGCACGATCCTACACCTGCTAGATTTAAGGTGGCTATCTGGTTGTCGGAGTCAAACTGCACTTGGCCTGTGACTCCTCCCATGTTTAATGGTGCGAGAAATTTGGCACAGGAAATAAAATCTGAAAAAGACGAGATAAAGAGGAGACCAATTGTTAACGTAACAAGAAGACTCTTGCCACTATAAATAATCTACCATATCTAATTATCTGAGTCTTACTATTGCTTAATTTTTAACAGTTATTTCTTCAAGATATGCTTAGTCAGTTTTCTAATAAAGTTATAGAATACATCTATCCATCCATCCATCCATTAATTTTCTAATATCCTTAGAGGGTCGGGAGATGCTGGTGCCTGTCCAGCTGATGTTCCGAGCGAGGGGCGGGGTACACCCTGGACAGGACGTCAGTCTGTCGCAGTTATGGAATCCATTGTTATTAATTAAACATATAGAATATAAAAAATTTTTAATATGCTTTTCTGGCATAAAATGTGCAGCTGTGGCACCAAAGATATAAAAAATAAAATATGCTAATTGTAAATTCTTAAGATCTGGTTAATTAAAAATATACTGTATGTAGGTACCAAGAAAATTTTATCTTGTACCCACAATTTTCTTTTCAAATTTCATACATGTTTGTGATAAAAATGTCATAAAATAAGTAACTATTAAGAATTAATATGATCCATGAAAAGATACTTGCCATGTCAGATTTCTTCTATTGTTTTGTTTTTGACACACATATGTGTTACAAATCAGGAAATAAGTCTGAATATCAGGCACAAACAACTTGAGTAAATACAAAAAATTTTTTTAAAATTATGTTTTATTAACATAGAGGTATTCAAACCAACCTGACTCGATGTGACAATACAATCAGCATCCCTGAATAACAAAGCCTTTGGAATGTATCAGTCATGTATGGCTTACAAGATCATTTCCAGGGTTTTGGTACTTCAACAAACCACAGTGAAAATCCTTATCCACAAAATGGAGAAAACGTGAAACACTGACTAACCTCAAAGCAGAGGACGCCCTCCCTGTATTACTTCAAGCTGTCATTGAATCTTGCATGAATCCACAAAATAGCCTACAACAACATCTGAAGCGATGCATTTCACTTGCTTCAGCTTACAACTGAAGGGGGCAGTATTTCCAGGCACATAGTTTCAATTTATAGTGCAATCAAGTAACCATGTTATCTTCAGTTGTTATACAATTATGTATATACGGCTGGGATGGATAAATTGAAAAATCAAGAGAAAGCCAAAGTGTTGTTAGTATTCTGAATTTTGTTTAAAACTTTTCCCGTTACAAATCCCTTTTGTCTGGGATTTGTAACTTTTCTCTAAACAAAAGTTTTGTCTAGACAAAAGTTTAGACGCATAGAATTACATATTATAAAAACATATTTTTATTTCATTATTGTATCATTCCTCACTTTAACATTAAAAACATTTTAAAAACACTTCGGTGAAATAAGTTCCTATTTCACACGACGCTAATATTTTTTCTTGGTGATGGAATGAAACTGAAAGATGAAGTTGTTTGCAACAAGACAGATGGACTTTTTCTTCTCCACAACAGACCCTGGACAGCATTTGAAGCCACATTTAACAAAGGAAATACTATTTTCGCAATGTGACGAAGATCCTTTTCACTGATGTGAAAGAAGGAGTTTTCAGATTTAGAGCATTAGTTTTCCTGTAGTGTCAAGTTGAGCTGCATAGCAGCGAGCTGTCATCCTGAAAACTGAGGGGATGATGAAATGCACGGCTCTCAGAAAAAGTTAAACATTACAAATACTCATTCACAGTTTTGAACCAAAAGCCTCCGGGCAAGTGCCAGCGAGTGATAAGCAATCAAAAAATGCACATTTCTCAGTAAATAGCAGGTGTGAAATCCATGCCAGACCTTTCTCTGCATAACCCATGATTAAAAACAGTCTTGGGTGTCTTAATTACTGCTAGGACTCGCTTTCAAAAGACAAAAACAATTACTCACCGAGTGCAGCAAACAGCAGGGCCGCTCTAAAAAGGCACATTTTGGCAGACTAGGTAAGTTGAATCAAAACTTCTCTGCAGACATGTTAGCTGGGATGTTTAAGGAGAGCAGAACGATGCAGAATCTGTGTGTGTCTCTGTAAAAGCAGATCAACTGTGGCTGTATTTAAGCATCGTGCAGCCTCCCCTTCTGTGACAGCTTGTGATCGGCCTGCTTGTTTACAATGGCTCGTGAGGTGAGAGGTTGGAGGGAAGAAGAGACACCAGCAGTCTTGTTTTGTTGGAGATGCCATACATCTGCTCCTGTAAAAATAGAGGTGGAGGTGAAAAAAAAAAAACGTGGAATGAATTGAAGGTCCTGCTGAGGGATTCATGTTTTCACGATCGCTGAATCTTGCTTCTTCATTCTCTATTCATTCGACAATTACCTAGAATTTAATTTCTTATAGAACATTAGTATGTTGCCGAAAAAAAGTTTATTTGCACAGACAAAAATAAAAAAGGCCTGACTGAAGGTTTCTCTAGAGGTTACCTTCTCAGTTGTTTTTATTTGTATTTAGAAATTGTAAGCAGAGTCAAAAAAAAAAAGGAAAATGTAAAAGATTTTAAACTTGAGGTGCAGTTTTGGAGCTCTGATTCTTCATCTTGTAGAAATCTTATACTAACATAATTTATAGCAAATGTAGTAAAAGAACCACTTACTCCATTTAGCACACACGCACGGACCTCCGAATTTAAAATTGCCCCCGCAATGGCACAACATCTTAATACATTTAATCTGAAATGAAAATATAAGTTTCGAAAAGTCATTATCTTTGTGCATCCTAAAGTGAAGGTTGGTATGACCCACTATTCAGGATGTTTTGAGTCAGTAAAGATTCTGAAAGTGTGAATTTTAAGCTTTTCACTAATGGAAAATGCTTGGAAATAATAATAATAATTAAAAAACTCTTTCCTACAATTGTGTGCACTAATAACATTTCAGGGCTATTTGTAATTTAGAAGCATTACAAAAGAAAAACAGATTTGAGTTGCTTTGAAAAAAGCCCGTATGTAGCCATAAACAATTTTATTTTAAGTGTTAAGATGCAGTTAGTCAGCGTGGGGCGCAGCGCTGTTCACCGCCTCATCACTGTCATATCGCATTCAGCACAGACCAAGATCTGTGTGCCAGCTGCAAGCCATGTCTTGTGAGTGTTGAAAAACAAAACTTCTGAAGCTAATCCTGAGAAATTTTCCAGTGTTTTCTTTTCAGTGGCCAGGTCATAAGCCATTTAGCCATTATTGTTTTTAAAAACGATCTTTTGGTAAGCTAACTTTACGGTTGAGCTTTCGTCACTTCAAATAAACTACTGTTTACATGCAGCACCTTGTGACCACTGGCAGATGCCCGTAGGTCACAAATGGTCCGGGGACCACAGTTTGAGAAAGACTGACCTATAGGTTGCTAGGCAGGAAATACAAGGAGTAAACATTTATAAGAAAATGTTGCAAGTTATAAACAGAGCTCTCACGTGTTCCAGAGCTCTTACAGTGCCATACAAAAGGCTTTTCCCCATTTTGTCATGTTTGTCAGTATTTCACCAGGATGTTCTGTAACACAAAGAAGTGCATGACTGTGAAATGGGCCAAATATTACTAATTAATTTCAAACGTTTTTGAAACAAACAACCTGAAAAACCTAGTGTGATTCAATAGCCTGGCTCAGTACTTTGCAGAACCACCTTTCGCTCCAGCTACAAATGCCAGTCTTTTCATTAGGGTTTAAATATCTGCAGACTGAAATTTGCCTGCCTATTTTTTTGCAACGTAGCCCCAGAGGACACGTGATTTTCTCACGTGTTCCTATTTTCAGATGTTTATATGACAACGTCGAGAGGATTAGTATCTGCTTTAATGGTTTAAAATTTTAAAAGGAAAAACGAAAAAAAGAAATGATGTAGATTGTTTCCAACATCTTTAGATAAAACTGTATTTTATTGGATCTTTTTGAGGAGGTTGAAACATGCTTTTCTGTCTCAAACACAAATGTTTCAAGTGAAGTTAGACTTGCACCCATTAATGACATAATTTCAGGCAACAAACACTGCCATCGAGTAAGTAAAGAAATGTTTTCTGTCATATTTGGGATTGATTATTGTGAATCAAATTAATTTACCCAAACACCACAGAGTGACGATTGGATTACTCCTTATCCTCTCTACCGTGTACAGTTATGGTAACTGTACACAGTGTATAAATGTATCCAATTGTACACATTTAAGGTTGAGAGAAATTGCATCTTGTCTGTTGTTAAAATTGTGACACTTTTTATGTGAAAGTCTGATATTTGGGCAGCCTTTGATTTTACACTTTTCAACGAAATAGAAATGTGAGTAGACGAGAAATACACGCAGCTGTACAGACACAAATAAAACCAGGCTAAAGAGAGCAGACAGAATTATCTTTGGTCCAAAGTCTAATCTCTAAACAACGCAAGCTGTCTTTTTGGTGTTTTTGCTCTGCTTTACAGACAAAAATCTTCACAAAAATGCTTCCATTTCAAATAGGTTTCAGAATTTTGGCTCACTAACGCTTGCCGCCCCATCTGTGCTTGAATTTTTATGGAAATACAAAAGTTTCAGATGTCTCTAGACTTTCCGGTTTTATCTGCGTAAAACCGGAAAGACCGCTCCAAAATGAGGTACCGGTCTTGTGCGAAATTCGGTTCCCCTGTGAAAATCTGTTCCCCCTGCGTCGGGAGCGCGCATTACAGCCAGAGAGGCGAAAGAGGCGGATCTGATCATTTTCACGTCGCTTCTGATCGATTTCTCTTCTCGGTAAAAAAAACAACTAATACAACCATGTCAATGTTGTAACACTCAGTTTAATTTGCAGCTGTTGTTTAAAAAAATTGTAAAATAAATAAATAAACGAGGTCTTCTGACGCTGTTTTGTGTTATTGTAAACACCAAGAGAATCGCTCTTTTCTCACGTAAGTCTGCTCCATCACCGTCTTCCTCTTATTTTAATAAAAGGAATAATTTCAGTATCATTTTGTTTTAATAATATACTGAAATTATTCCTTTTATTAAAATAAGATGAAAGCATATCAGTACAAAGACATAAAGTCTTTGTGAGACATATATGTATGATAATAAAAACTGAAATGCATGTGCATTGATATATATTTATAAGAATTGGAAATCAAATTTACATTTCTCAGCTTGAGTTTTTTTCTGGACTGGACAGGAGTCAATGGCAGAGCAGAGGAAGACGGTGATGGAGCAGGAGGTGGGGATGGAGTCGGTGGAGGGACTGGATCAGGGGGAGGTGCTGCAGCAGGTGGAGATGGTGATGGAGCAAATAGTGATGAAATGTTTTCAAACTTGCTGTTTGCCAACAGCCAGTTTGCTGTTGATGATTACTGTTGATAAATACATTTGTTTCCATGTTTTTGAGGGGGAACGGATAATTTCAGTCAGGTAAAACAGCTAAAATATTTGGTTCCCCCCTCATAACTCTGGAAAAAAAGGAGCAAATGCTACCAAATTCACAGGATTTATTGTTCATGATGAGAGGAATAGGCAGAGAAAAAATCTTGCTGGTAAGTGCAGTTGTTCCCATTTTATGGAGGGGGAACAGAATATTTTAGCCAGCAGAAATATATGGTTCCCCCCTCATAACTCTGGCAAAAAAGTAGCAAATGCTACCAAAATCACAGTATTTATTGTTGATGATGAGAGGAATAGGCAAAGTTAAGCATTTGCAGGTAAAATAATTTGTTCCCATTTTATGGAGGGGGAACAGAATATTTCAGGCTGCTGAATCATCCATTATTTCCTCTCCTTACTCCATAACCTTGGGGAATAAAGAACAACTGTTTCCAAATTCACAAAAACCTTTACTACACACTACGTGTTGGGAAAACTGTGTTTGGTGACTGACTTTTATTTCTGCCAGACTTACGTCAGAAAAGAGCGATTCTCTTGGTGTTTACAATAACACAAAACAGCGTCAGAAGACCTCGTTTATATATTTATTTTACAATTTTTTTAAACAACAGCTGCAAATTAACTGAGTGTTACAACATTGACATGGTTGTATTAGTTGTTTTTTACCGAGAATCGATCAGAAGCGACGTGAAAATGATCAGATCCGCCTCGTTCGCCTCTCTGGCTGTAATGCGCGCTCCCGACGCAGGGGGAACAGATTTTCACAGGGGAACCGAATTTCGCACAAGACCTCACTATAGCGCAGGGCATTCTGGGTAAACACTGTGCTTTCCTCACAACACGACAATCTGTAGCTCCAGACAACCACTGGACAACTAATAAAAGGTCTCCGAGGAAGGCTTGCTCTTCTTAAATGACCTTTTATAAATTGGTTTTTGTAACTGAAATAGAACAGAAAGGAAAGATACATTATTAACTGATACACCCACCTGAGTGCTACACTTAAAGATTGCGAAAACGCTGCTCTACATTTTAACAACCACATAAAAGACAACAAATGTGTCTGGTTTTCCCAGACACATAAATACTTACAGAAACGGAGGTTTTTCGAGGTAAAAAGGGTTTAAAGTGCATCCAGCGTGTTCTCGAGCCGTTTACTTTCTACTAACGGCCGAAGTTCTCGTTGACATGGTTACAGGGTTCCGCAAATGTGACAAAGATTGTTCAGAACAAAGATGTCGCACTCTGATCAAATTTCAAACCCAAGTTGTTTTTACCATTCCTGGCATGAATTCACTCATGCTATTTCTTAACTTATTAATGTAACAAATGTGTTAGTCCAGCACCAGAGCCGGGGTGTCAAACTCATTGTCAATTTGGGCCACGTCAAGATTACAAATGTCCTCAAAGGGCCGGTTGTGGCAGAATGGCTTATTAAAACTAACTCTTGACAAACTGTTTTAAATAAGATGGCTATCGCTGCATTTGACCAGTACTTCTGCAAAGAAACAATACAATATTTAAACACACAAATAGAACAAATAGAATTGACATTTTATTTATGTGGTCTTCTAGAAGTAATATTTAAGTAGTTAATACTTCTTGTTCCCTTTTGCCCTACACGCCATTCAACAACTGTAACACAGTCAATGTACGAATGCTTTGTCATACATTGACACGGAATAAAAGTATCAACCTCTACAAGTCAGTCAATGAAGCTGAAATCAAAATATAAAGCACTGTAGTTAAGTGCAGTTACATTTATGTTCACACTTTTTTCACACCGTCTTAAATACCATGGTGCAGAACAAGGTGGCAAACTGTGACAACATTATCCAGCCTCACAAAGAGAGAAAGGTGTCTGACAGTGAGCCATGCTTTGTGCTTTGCTGTGATTATTATTCATCTGTATTATACATGTTGTCCAACTGTGATGGACAACATGTTTGAATGTGTGACTATAGAAATACTCGTGGAAAAAAGGAAAAATGTCTTAGTGAGTTGCATTTATAGAGCCCCTGGATCAAACATTGAAGTACTCAACAACTGGATAGAAGAAAAATTTATAACAATTAATCAAAAAATAACATTTTTTTGTGGGGATTTCAATATTGACCTTCTCAATCCAAATAAACATAGAATGACTGAAGAATTTATTAACACCATGCTCAGTTTAAGCCTGTATCCTAAAATCACCAGGCCCAGTCGCATTACATCACACTGCGCTACCTTAATTGATAATATTTTTACAAATGTGCTGGAAAATAATTTAACTAGTGGAATATTAATGAATGACACAACTGATCACTTACCAGTGTTCATAGTCTACGACTGTAAGTGCAAAACAGACGATCAAAAAATAGAGACACATTACAGACGGGTTACGTCTGAAGAGACACTAAAAGCTCTAGAAGCTGAGTTGTTAGCCTATGATTGGAGATTAATATATAAAATGAATGACGTGAATTCAGCATATGAAGAATTTTTAAAACATTTAAAATATTATATAACAAGCACTGCCCAATCAAACAATATAACAGGAAAAGTAATCAAAAAATGAACAGTGGATCACAAAAGGAATACAAAAGGCATGTAAAAGGAAAAACAAACTTTATAGAGAATTTCTAAAACATAGAACGTCTGAATTAGAAAACAATACAAGAAATATAAAAATAAGTTAACTAATATTATAAAACATGTAAAAAGGACTATTATCATACATTACTGGATAGGAATAAAAACAACATTAAGGAAACATGGAATATTTTAAATAGAGTTATTAGAAAATCTAACAATAACAACTATCCAGACTATTTCATAGATAATGAACAGAAATATTACTGATTTGAAAAGTGTCGTCAATAAATTCAATACATTTTTTGTTAATATAGGACCTCAATTAGCAGAAAAAATACCGACTACAAAAACTGCAACTCAGCAATATCTAATTGAGAATAATCCCAGCTCCTTATATCTCAGCCCTGTACAAGAAGAAGAAATCATAAACATTGTGAATAACGGTAAAAATAAGACTTCCACTGACTGTGATGATCTGGACATGAAAACTATTAAAATAGTAATTAAAGGTATCTCTAAACCACTAACTTATATTTGCAATTTATCATTTCAAACAGGATTATTTCCCAACAAAATGAAAATAGCTAAGGTCAAACCAATGTATAAAACTGGCGACAAACACCTCTTCACTAACTACAGGCCTGTGTCTCTTCTCCCACAATTTTCTAAAATCCTGGAAAAACTATTTAAGAAAAGACTGGAACAATTCATAGAAAAACATTCACTACTTATCAGCAGTCAATATGGATTCAGAGCAAACCGGTCAACATCACTGGCCGTAACTGACTTAATAGAAGAAATAACCAACGCAACAGATAGTAAAAACTGGCAGTAGGAATTTATAGATCTAAAGAAAGCTTTCGATACAATAAATCATGAAATCTTACTTAAAAAATTAGAACGCTATGGAATTAGGGGAGTAGTTTCTGACTGGATGAGGAGTTACTTAAAGAGCCGGAAACAATTTGTGAAATTGGGAGAGGTGGAATCTGATTGGCAGGAGACTGTCTGTGGAGTACCACAAGGATCAGTATTGGGACCAGTTTTATTTAATCTTTATATAAATGATATCAGTAAAGTGTCCAATGTATTAAAATTTATCTTATTCGCTGATGACACAAATATTCTAGCCTCTGGCACAATTTAGAACATCTTCTCTCAACAGTCACTTCAGAGATTAGTAAGTTAAAGATATGGTTTGACCATAACAAATTATCCCTAAATTTGGACAAGACGAAAATCATGGTCTTTGGGAACTGTTATAAAAATACTGAAATCCAAGTTCAAATAGAGGACGTAACTCTACAAAGGGTTTTTGCTAATAAGTTCCTCGGTTTAACAATAGATGACAAAATCAGTTGGAAACCTCATATTAAACATTTACAGAGTAAACTCAGTAGAAGTATATCCATATTGGCTAGAGCTAGACATGTATTGAATGCTAAATCACTTCATATTCTATATAACTCCCTGATTTTACCATACCTATCATATTGCTGTGAAGTGTGGGGAGTTAATTACAAGAGCTCTTTACATCCGGTAACCGTCCTACAGAAAAGAGCCATTAGAATCATTCATAATGTCGGTTATTATGACCATACAAATCCGCTCTTCATAAAATCCAGAATTCTCAAATTCGACGAGCTTGTAGAATTTAAAATGGCTCAATTTATGTTCAAAATATCTAAACAGCTGTTACCTGAGCACATACAGAGCACGTTTTCTGAAAGAGAAGGGGGGTATAACTTGAGGGGTCACTCAAACTTCAAGATCCGCAAATTCAGAACAACAAGGAAAAGCTTCTGTATTTCAATTACAGGTGTAAAGTTATGGAATAAGTTTACATGAAGATTTAAAACAAAGCAACAGTTTAACGCAATTCAAAAGAAAGTACAAAGAGGTAATTTTCAATAGATACACATACGTGTAATAGAAAGCAATAAGGTGTGTATTGCAGATAACTTGGTGTAAGGGTTAAGAAAGACAAACCAGCATAAAATGGGAAAATGAATAGGTAAATATTAGTAACTGTTACTTCTGACTGACACTTTGATTTTGATTTTTTAATGACAGTAGGATTCTACAGTCTCAAGTGTTTAGGGGTAGGAGTTTATAAGTTCTCACTTCTTCCTACCCCATTTTGAGCATGATATGTCAACTGAAACAAAAAATCTGTATTTTCTCTTCTTTCTTATGCACTTCTTGTTACTGTGCACTATTTTATTTTTATATTTTATCATGTTCAAATAAATTTCATTTCATTTCATTTCAATTTCATTTCATAAGCTGTGTGAAGCCAAAAACTGCCCACAAGGAGAAAAAAGGATTTATTGTCTTTGCACACAAATTTCCGAAAGTGTCCTTGACCGCAGTTCATTGTCACGTCGCAGCTCAGTTATTTCCATGCGCACTCCGTTCGGTAAAGAAAATACATCCTGCATCTTTTATGCAGTTTCAATGTCCATGGGAAAAGATGGATTTGTGATACATTTGACAATGCCCTCCCTGGCACAGATTTCCCTAAAAACTTGTGGAATTCTGCAGCTTCTGCTCTGGAATAGCAGCTCAGAAAGTCTGCCGGTCTTTCTGAGCAACAAAGTCAGGGGTTCAAACCAGCAGATGATGTACTCCTACCCACCATCAACACCGTCAACGTGAAGTTAACGCACAAATAAAGTCCAGCATGACCGAAGGAATTATTTGAACCAAACATTCTAAACTCTCCTCACTCCGGCTCTAGGAAGAACAGCCCAACTACTTCTGCTCTAAATGTTTTCAGTGTTCAAGGCATTTCATTTGAAAAGGTTTCATGTTGCTTTATCTGTCATTTGATCTGTCAGGTGACAGTGAGACATTCTGTTCAAAACTGACATCTCCATTAAAACTCCCTTTTGGTTTTCAGATTACTTGGGAAGTAGGACAAAATGTGTGTGTGTGTGTGTCACTAAAGGTGTACCTCAAGGCTCATTCTTAGGACCCGTCTTGTTCAGTCTTCGTTTCTGATCTGCGTGCAAGCTTCTCAGATCCCTTGCACCGTTTTTATGCAGATGATTCTGTCATTCTCATTCAGTCCAACGGGTATTTCAATGTCTGCTATCTGCTTTCGATGCAGAGCAGTCAGCTCATGCAAATAAATCTGGTTTTAAATGGTGCAAAGTCCATGCTAAAGCATTTTTCACATTCATCCACTGATATCAGATATGTCAACATGTGACTTGAAACTGATTTGAAAAAGAAATTTCCTAAAATCCCAGGGATGAAACGATTATGCACATTGTTAAAAGGACCACCGACATTCTATCAGTCGGTAAAACATTTAATTAATATAATAAAATACCACTAATATTAAAATAAATAATTGATGATGCCGTGTTCATGTGAATAACAAGAATTCAACATCTTGCAACTGATAACTATTGTGCTACATTCAGAAAAAAATAAAGTTTGTTTCATTATTGTGAAAATGCTTTGATTATTCACCAAACTAATTGTGATGATCACATGAAAGCTTTGATCATCTGGACGAAAGTTATTTGTACTCTCACTTGTAAATGAGGTGATGTAGTAGTCACGTTGAAAGTTACAGCAGTTAATTAGAATAAAATAAGTCCTTGTTCTATACAAGTAATGTGGTGTGGCAGCTACAAGAGAAATTTGACCGAACTGTTTCACTGTAGGTGCTTTTTGCCTGATAAAATTAGGAACCGGTTTTAAAACATCTTGTATGAGTTTAGCTAGGAACTGTTAATTGTTTGTTAAATTATATTTGATCAAAAAACATATTTTAGTTAAAATATTGACTTATTTTAATTATTTTTTACTATTCCTCCTGCAGAGATGGCTTGTAGTTTTGCGTCTCATGACACTTCCTGCAGGTATCCACCAGAGGGCGCCAAGGAGAACCAGCTAGGGATCAGGACTTTTGTGCTTTCACCAAAGATTAGATGAGGACAAAACGCCACTTACACACAACACCGCTCAGACTTTACCAAAAAATTCATCGTTATGATCTTGTGAATTTTTAACTTTGATAAATGTCGTTGAGTAACCATGAATGAGATAATTGGGAGTTTCACCTTTTTGTAGTAAAATCAAATAGGATTGAACAGACAATCCTTTTCATATTGTGATGTATTTTACAGTGAAAGGGGGCGATTGGTCAAATGTGACGAAGAGCCATGGGAAGTCAAGTGGTAGAAATGACTGGCTGAGACAATTTATTTGATTTGACTAAAAACTTGGTTTGGTTCAATTGAACCTGCATAAATAAGTTGAAATTTATTAGTATTGAAGCTAAAAGATGAGAAGGAAAACATACCTGTCAGTAATGGGGTAAACATCTCAAAAATGATTTCACTTTTCATCTTAAAGAATAATTTTCAAACAGTGCTGCTGCTGTTTTTCTGACCTTTGGCTAATTAGGAAAATAAGCATTTTTATAAAAAAAAAAAAACACAACAACCTTCAGTGCATCTTTCTTGTCACTCTTCAAATTATCCTCGTTCTTTGACACGCAGAAAAGAATACAATTCTGAAAAACTTTATTCAAAATCATATATAGAAGTTGATTGTGCTATAGCAATATGTTCATAGAAAATTGACATTTCAAAATGTAGTTCACAAACACAAGTACCTCTTGCCCAAACGAATAGCAATACACAACACATTCCTACAAAAAAACAAAACAAAAGCAGGCATACCAATGACTAGTTTATAAATATTTATAGCCTCAACTGGTTCTTCAACAAAAAACCCCTGGAAGATCTTCATTTGCACAAAACATATATACATATATGCACATTATTTGCCCAGTCACTACTGCAACATTTGATGCGTGACATTTCAAATTCACAGTTTTACAACAGCAGGACCCGTGTGTCTGCACTGATGAGTTGAGGTCAAAACGGGACTCTGCTTTTAGCAAGAGGCTGCAGACGGCAGCAGGAAGGCAGCAGCAAACATCAGACACAGGGAGAAGATTTCTGGCAGCACCAGCTGCCCTGCAGAACTTCCTGTAGAAAATAGACGGAAAATTGCACATTATTCAGGAGGAGAATCACTTACCGTGGCGCTGCAAAAGTTTTGCTTTTTGAGACGATTCCATCTTTTTAAAACCAGATCAGATCATGTACAGACAGGGCTCATAGTTTAGATTTTCTAGCAAACACTTTGGGTAAAAACTCTGTAAATTCTTGTTTTAAAAATCTTTGTTGTATTTTCTGTTCACAATAAGGTAGACAATAAATGAACCAGTGCAATGGTGAACCACGACACTGGAGCTAAAAAAAAATATATATATTTGAATCTCAGTGATATTAAGCTTAACATTATATTTCAGATGAATAAAAATAAGCCAAGATCCAAAAAACACTTTTCATTTTCCACAGTTTTAATATTTTAAAGATTGTTTCAAATGCAACTGTTAATATGTTTATTTTCAGTTTTCATCAGTAGTATTTTAAAACATTACAGATAACTTGATTTTTATTTTTCAGCTATTCATAAATGCCCAATTAGCACCATTTCATGGCCTAATTTTGTTGCCAAGTGGTATTACTAGAGGTACTTACGTGTACATGTGGCGCTTTCTCTGAATGGGCCCATTAGCCCACTCGTTTTGACAGAACTCAGAAGATCTGTGCGGACATCCCCTTTAACAGAATCAGACAAAATGTTGACGTGCCACCTCAGTGACATTTTGTCTTACTAAAAAATTTATTGCATCTTGATGAAAACCCACCATCTATCTGTCGCAATGGTGGATAGTCTTATTGTAATGGTTAATTTTTCACCTTTGACTTGTGAGGGAGCATTTTTTTTTGTAAAACTCCTCCAGGTGACATTTGTTGGGAATTTTCACTATACTGAAAGAATTGAATTGGAATTAATTAGCCGTCCTGTGCTGCACTCTAAAAACCCTTCGTACAGACGCCGCTCTGTTTCCCCCCCCCTGCGAAAGAGGAATGGGCTGAAAATGAGACACTCAACTCCAGCGTTGGGTTACTGAGCGGGTTTTGGAGGATTTCTAAAGATATTCAATGCCAGTAATTGTTCATTGTCCTGATTTTGGGACTTACAAGCTTCCCAGTTTCAGTGTGATAGCGCTAAACACAGACCTTAAATTTCCTGAAAGCTGCGATTTACTTCTATTGTTCATGTCAATTTATTTGACTTTTACTGCTAGTGCTGTTGTTTTCAACGGACAGGTTTCAGAGGTAAAACCCTTTTTGTTTTTAACAGCGACTAATTGCTTGATGAAATACCGTCACAACAACTAGAATGCAACGAGTCGGAACATGTTTACGTCATTACATCACTAAATCAATCCTAACCTGCAGCAAAGTTTTCCACAGTTAGTAATAACCATAACAACATCATGCTGTAAACATCTGAGATGCATTTTGACTGCATTACACGTGCAAAATGAGAATACAGTGGTATTAGTGGTCGATCTGTGGCCTCACATAACCACACACTTCAATGTATCTGATTGGGATTTTAGCTAATCAAGTGCTGCATAGCTATAAAGTGCAAGAAAAATTATGCTTGTTTTACATCATTTCGTTGAATAAAAAGGATAAGGTTATGGAGAAATTTATAGCATTAATCGGAAAAGCAGCCAAAATACTCTTAGCAGGTTTGGATTAGTTGCACACATCTACAGCTTAAGTGTGTTGACAAAACAACTACAAGCTATGCACTCCACAGATCTGGCTCTATGGAAACATAATCCTGACAGAATTCAAGTTTGAAATCAACAAGCCAATTAGCAGAGAGCAAACAAATAGATGTCGCACTTTCTTTGTATTTGTAGAAAGTTTAAATACTATAATTTTCCTTCCACTTCATTGTCAGACATGACTATGTTGGTTTATCACATAAAATCTAAATGTATAGTTGGAAAATAATAATGTGTACATACTTTTATAAGGGGAATTATTTCTGTCATTTTGATTTATTTAAATAGCTTGTCTGATAATCGTTGGTGTGTTGTAAGTACAATTGGCGTGTTGCAAGTACAGCACAACAATGATGCTGCGTTTTTGGACACCAATGTAATTTTCCTCCTTACCCGACACCATGAAGTTGACCGTTTGGCACTGGCCGTTTTCTGTAAAGGAGGGAGAGCCGGGCAAGATGGTTATCCTCGCCATTTCTGCCTGCAGAACATCTGCAACTCTCCTTCGGAAATCATACCTGGGTATGAGCAGAAATAAGTAACTTTTAGTCTTGTGTGAACAAAAAAAAAAAAAAAAAAAACGAATTCAGACGCCCCCCCCCCAAAAAAAATTCTGCTCATCATTTTTGGGTTTTTTTTTTTATAGCTCCACCATCTATAAAAGTTTCTGTCGAAGTGGAAACAAATTTTGTGTGTTTGCACCAACATAATGACACCAACTTGTTTCCAGATTACCACTTTAGGTTTGCAATAAAAACATTAGTAAGGTTGCATATTGCACAACGTCTATCTCTGCATATTTCCACATATTTCCTGATTGAACTCGGTTCTTGTCTGAAGGAAACTTAACTCCTGATACTTAGTTTAATACCTCAGTCTCTACAGCTATAACATCGAACCAGAGATTCAAACTGGAAATAAAAAATATTTCAAACAATGTAAATTAGAGTAATTTACAAAACTCTGATAAATTCTAAATGAATTTAAATGGACATAATGAGTGTTTCTAGAAATAATGCTGTTTTTAACACGTTAACTGACAGAAATCAGAACAGTTTGTTACTAACCGGCTAAAGGCGCTCAATTTGGGAAAGGTCTGCTCTGCAGATTGGGATTGTGGGAGGATGTCGGCACACGCAAGGATGCTGCTCCCATTCTTCAGCACAAGAGACCTGAAGACAACTTGGATCAAATGCAGAATATCAAGTCAGACATTTCACTAAACTCAACAAAATAAATAAAAGCTAATGGACGATGACAAGCTAATGGACGATGACATGGTGAATGACAGAATGAAACGGTTGATGCTTAAGTCGATGACATTTCCCACTTCTGCAGACACTCATTTCCAGTCCTCTCACCTGTGTTATCTCCTGAGAGCTGGATGTTGCTGTCAGAGTAAACTTCTCTTCCAATCAGGCTGACATTGCCTTGTCTTTCAGAAAATTCTCCCACCACACAGCTCAACTGGTTTTGGAGCGAACAGCTGGAGCTCTGGAAGAGGAATAAAAATTACAAAGTTACCACAAAAAAATTTTTTTTAAATCCTCCACGGGATTAGACAGCGAGTTCCTCTAGTCCGAGATTACCTGTCATTAGTACTATAAAAACTACTTTGTTTCCACAGTTCGTTTGTTTTTTTGTCAAGAGAAAAACTACTTACATCAGTGTCCTTTGAAGAGATTGAAGTATTTCTTATAAGATATGATAAAATCTGGAATGCTCTTAGTTTGCTGCCGTTTCTTTTAGCAGTTGTCATTTTAGACTAAAGTGTCTTCTGGGTAAAAGGGGACAAAAACTTGTGCTCTCTTATTATTATTTTCCCATAAATAATAATTTACAGGAAAATAATATCCCGCATTATGGCGCCCCTCCCCATCGTTCATCAATGGGGAACTTTCATTCCTCTTCCCATCGGTGTCACGTTAGCTCCACACCCTCCTCCCCCCTTATGTTAGTTTCAACCTGCTCTTACATCAGTTCCCCACCCTGCTGCCCTGACCTTTGGTTTACCCCCCCACCGCTCTGACAGTAGCGCTGGACGGCGACAATTCCCGTATATTCTCAAAGTCAAACTTGACAGTTAAGGTCCCCAACAGCCCGCCTCACCAGTAGTTTCATGTTGAAGGGGTTGAAAATGTCTCCCACGTTGGTACACAGCCCGCTTGTTGCACCCACACGGTTGCTTGCGATAAACAGGGAGGCCGCAGGAATCTGTAAGCACATTTAATATACAAACTATGTTTCTGCTGCCTTTATTTGTTGCATTAATAGACATGAATACACAAATGATTAGGAATAGCAAACAGACACTTTGATACTCGTATCAGTAGCATCAATAACTTGTACACTATTTGGCGTCTTATTTTGTCACCCCTGAAAATGCCTAAGGAAGTTTTGATATCGTAGAATTTTGACATTTTATTGGGTGTTTACGAAACTTTCAGTTCCCGACACTAAAGACAGCCGTAGCAGAAATTTGTCACCTTGACTAGTTGGTTAGTTTGGGTTATACAATCACTACTAATCCATCTACAAGAAGGTAAAGTGATGACACAAACAGCACCAACTACCCATTTTCATTCATATGTGTAACAACTGTGTTTAACTCCATTACTCTTTACTTACACTTTGACCTGAAGATGATTTGAGGTCCATTTCCAGTATGACATCACCGCTACTCCCATCAGGAAACATCTGCTGGCGCTTGAAGAGACAGAAACCAAAGGTGCCTGACATTAGTAGACATACAGATTATTGTCAGCTGATTAAAGTGATTTATACTGATGTGTGGATATCTGTTTTCTTTTTAGTAACTGCTGAGGCACTTCCCAAATTATTTGGCCAGTCCAGAATAAGCTCATGTTGTTCTTTCCGCCTTGATAGCTCTGTAGAGGTTTAGGTGTAAAGCAAGACTCAGTGTGGGGCCTCTGGATGGCAGCTGACAGAAACAGCTGATATCGGAGTGAGCCTCAGAGTTTAGTGAACATACATTCACAGTTATGCTAAGCTAAGCTTGTACTCATGCTTTCCATGTCTGTTTATCGCCTCTTTTCCTTCCGGATGCTCTTTGTGTGCCTACTGTGGTCTTCCCCTCATTATCAGTCTTCTAAATTTTGAACTTTGTGAATTTAGATACATTCCTCTACACATCGTGCAGTGGTACATCTTTATTTTCTTCACAGAAGAGGCAGGCTAATGCAATTTACATAAGCTAAAACATAGAAAACATAAATTCAAATGTGTATATACACACTTCACTGCCACAGAACATCTCTTATCCCCGTTTCGGGCCTAAAACCACATGAGCCACAGCTTGCACAATTTTTCATTTGTGGTGCAGAAAGAAAACTAAATGCCCATACAATATGGTTTTGGCTGTGGTTCTCAAAGAAAGACAATACAAAATGGTTTGAAATCGGAGAACTCTGGCAATCTGCAGCAGACAAGGAGGAGATTAGATGAAGGTAATTATGTGTTTTAATTTTACCAGTGCAACTGTCCCAGTCACTGTTCCATTAAATGTAGCCTTTGCAAGTGTCCATTGTCCATCTGTATTTGTGTCAGGCAAGACATCTGCACACACCATACTGCAGAGAAAACACAGACACCTTGAAATAACCAAGCCCAGTAGGTTCAACCCGGTTGGATTTTTTCTGTTGCAATACTCTGGTTAGAAGTCTTTTCTGAAAGAGGAACATACAGAATCTTAGCATCATAACAACACACCAAGAATAATAAGGTCATAGCTTGAGAATTCACACAGGAACCCTCAATAGATCGGGATGATATGCTGCTGTGGCCAGATTAGAGTGAATCTTAGATTTGTCTTTTATCTGCAAAATAATCAGTGTGTTTTCTACACCTTTCTGACACTTTTTTTCTCATCTTCTTTATTTCATTAAATGCTTTCAAGAGTGAAAGCAGAGTGTAGAGTGAAAATGCTACTACCCAGTTCTTTTTGAGAAGAAGGAACCTGTGGTAGTACCATGCAAAGCATTTCATAACTTCTGCCTTTTTCATCATTATCATAAACTTCAATGCTTGTTGGTTCTTACCGTGATCCATTTGTGTAGTGGATTACAACAGATCTTCCCATGATGCTGTAAGGTCCAGTAAGCGGCATGTTTGGGTCCATGTAGATAGCTTCAAACTCATTCTGGCCAGTAAGCATCCCAAACTTCCCACTGATGTCCCCGATCTCATACTGGTCCACTGTGCCTTCACCGGGTGAGGGAGAACTAGATGTGTTCCAGGCCAGTGGGTTAAAGTGGCCAAGGATGTTTGCATTTGAACAAGGATCAATGCTGCCAACAATAATGGACAAGATGTGGACATGGTAGCCTCCAGCTAAGGACTGCAGATTTTTTAAGGACACCTTGACTCCTGTAGGGCCTTGAGGGACATCTTGAGAGAATTTCACCTGGCCACTGGATGATCCAGGGCCTAACCAATTCCCTGACATCGCTGCAGGGACGCGCATCTTCGTAACATTGGCACACGCAATTCTTGGACCTCCTTTTTCTGCTTCATGGATGACCACAGAACGACCAATAATGCCAGACATGTCTAACCAGGAAGTGACATCAGTGAAAAGTGTTTGGAGTTTACGCCGCCTACGTTGGTATCAAGATTAATGGTGGTATGTTTTGTTGGCAAGGTCACCACCTCACAACATAGAGGGCAGGATGGTTTGCAATGAAGTGCGTAGCTCTGATCAGTTGTGATGATCTTAAAGGATTCCAATGGCCTCCTTTGTGACGCACCTCCCTTTATCATCGTCCCTCTCTGAGCTAATGGGGAATTCATGAACGTGCCAGTTATGGTTTTGGGTCGGTGTTGTTGTGGGATCTCCGTATGACAGATCCATAAAGATGGACACATCTGACAAGGGATTGTTTATCAACTGAGTAAAGATCATCTTTCCCACCACAGGGGTCTGAAATATGGCACTGGCTACTGTGACTGCACTAGGATAGCCTATGCTGGCACACGCATACCTATCACCATTGACCAGGTGAATCACAACTGAGCGACCTACAATGCTGTTCTGTCCAAACAGAGGAAGGTTGAAATCAGTGAATGTCATATCAAATGCACTTCTACCAGAAAGAGACATGTGTTTGCCACTCAGGTCACCTGTCTCATACTTGTCATGAGTTGATCCAGGCCCTGCAGGGTATGTTGGAGAAGTTGTGTCAACTCCAAACGGATTCCAGTGACCACCCACATTATCATTTGAACATTGGCCTGACCTGACTGAAGGGACGGGGAAATTATGGACGTGGTAGGGGCCAACTAATTTCCTCAAGTTTGTCAGATTCACACTAAACTGTGTCACGTCAAACGGTGAAGCCTGGCGGAAGTTGAAATATCCACTGATTCCTCTCATATTCACAACAGATCTCACTTCTTTCTCTGGCATGTTGTAAATCTGAGCACACTTATAATTGGACCCCACCCTGAGGAGAAGATACGAGTACTCTGTAAAGCTACTAAAATCCAAACGAGATTTCTGAGGTCTGAGAGGGTTTCCAACTTTCACACTGCCCAGATTTGTTAAAGTTTGTGGATTTAAGCTTTCAACCAGTATGTCACAATTAATTTCTGTACTTGTGGATCCAAAGATGATGATGCTGGTTTCTGGGGCATTCACCTGACCAATAGTCACTAGGTCAGCAAGAAGCCTAGGGTTGGCATTATTTACATTAGCACGTATGTAAATGTTACCAGCAACAGAGTCTGTGAATCTCGCCTGGTGAGTCAGTCGTGTCTGACCTTGACTTACAACTGTGCATACTTTAATGCCGTTACATGTCTCCAAAGACAGTGACAGGTCATCCAAGTTTGATTTTTGTTGAAAGAGAAGTGACACATTGATGGCAGAGGCAGATGAAGGATTCGCAGTGAAGTTGAAGACGCTGACACCAATGTTTGCCTCAGAGCAGGGTTGAGCAAAGTGGCCGAACATGAGGGGGAACACAGTGAGGGAAATGTTTACTGCAGTGCACGATCCTACACCTGTTACATTTAAGGTGGCTATCTGGTTGTCGGAGTCAAACTGCACTTGGCCTGTGACTCCTCCCATGTTTAATGGTGCGAGAAATTTGGCACAGGAAATAAAATCTGAAAAAGATGAGATAAAGAGGAGACCAATTGTTAACGTAACAAGAAGACTCTTGCCACTATAAATAATCTACCATATCTAATTATCTGAGTCTTACTATTGCTTAATTTTTAAACAGGTATTTCTCCAATACCTGTTTAAAAATTAAACAGGTTGTGACTAAGCACTTCTTGTGCTTAGTCACTTCTTGTGACTAAGCACAAAAAAATAACTCTTCTAATAGAGTTATGGAATCCATTGTTATTAATAAACAGTGAATGAAATCCAATGGATTCTTTTGTGAAACTATTTTAACATGATTAAAAATTTTAAATATTTTAACATTTGATGATAAAATCATTTCAAGATTTCAGTATCTATCGAGAATTTAGTTTCTTCATATGCCTTGCAACAAATTGAGGGTTAGACTTAGACTACTGTCTGCCATTTAGTTTCAGTTTTAACCACAAACTTTCAGTATGTTTCGAAAAAAAAAAAAAAACTATGTGAATACAGTTTCTACATTCAACAGCATAGGCTTAAAACACAAACTTAAGGACATCTACTCTTTACACATATTCCAAGGGGGAGAAAAAAAACCCAAAACACTACACATAACCATCTTTTTGCTGAACTTAAAAATTAACCCATTTAAATTTAATGAAATCCATCTCTTGAACAAGTGGGATTTATAGCCAATAGCTGCAGATATAGGAACAAAGCTTTTGGTTTCATCCTCCTCTTATCTGAACCTATGCAAAGTAAAACAGTGGGGTCCGATTTCAGACAGAGAAGGGTCAGGGTTCTGTTTGCATTAGAGGTTTTCCTATTTCAACACACCTGAATTCCCTCCAAAGCATTTCATCAAGTTCTACTGAGCCCGATCAGAACCCTTTCATTTAAATCAGGGGTGTGGAACCAGAGGAACATTTAAAATATTGACTCTTCTGGATCAAAATTTCACTTGATAATTCACCATTGCGCACTGATCGAACCACGCATTTGTTTCATTTAGGACGGTTTGCTACCCTAACTAATGGCACAAAGTTTTCTCCTCATTGTCTCCAAACAGGGAAAAGTTTTACTGGACAGCTTTTTTGTACCATCTGATTTTTAAATATACGTTTGATTATCTGAAGCACGTGAAGTAAAAGCAAAAAACAGACAAATCTGAGAGGGAGGAAATGATTTCACTGCAATGTTGATGAAATACTAGGCTGCCAAAAAATTTTGTATGGAATGGAGAAAAAAAAATAATTTAAAAACTAATTAAGTTTAAGTCAGAGTGTTGTCTTTATTCTGAATCCAGTTTCATTTCTTATTTACAAAAGCCCCGTTTTGTTTAGTGAATAAAAGCAACATGATTAGACATAATTAAAAAAAAACAACAAAAAAAGTGTTTTAATTCAGTATGACGTCATTGCTAGGTTAGCGTGAGCTCTAATCCCATCCGCTTCCATACACACACGTAATTAACTTGTGAAAACTAAGTTCCTATTTGCAGTGAAGATGACACCTCGCTAATATTTCCTCTTATTGGTATCAAAATGAAGTTGCTGTTTGCAACCTTACAAGTGGCCTAATTTGTCAACATTCCAGTTTCTCTTCTGCACGACATGTTGAACCCCATTGATCTTTGATATGCATCAGGTGTGACGTTGAAGTCACATTTGAAACGCCGTTTCCACGACGGGGCCCAGATTCGGTTTATCATTTGAAATCTTGGTGAAGGATCCTTTTCACTGATGCATAGAGAAGGAGAGTTATTCATTTAGATCGCTTCCCTGTAGGATCAAGTTGAGCTGCGTTGCCACAGCAGCGAGGGAGACGATGCAACGACTGCACGGCTCTCAGAAAAAAGTTAAACATTACAAACACTCATTCACAGTTTTGAGCCAAAAGTCTCCGGACACGTGCCGGAGAGTGAAAAAGCAACCAAAATAAAAAAAAATATGTCTCTCAGTAAACAACAGTGATGAAATCCATGCCAGACCTTTCTCTGCATAACCCCTAATTTAAAACAGTCCTGGGTGTCTTAATTACTGCTATGACTCGCTTTCAAAAGACAAAAAAAAAAAAAAAAAAAAAACCCAAAACAATTACTCACCCAGTGCAGCAAGCAGCAGGGCCGCTCTGAAAAGGCACATTTTGGCAGAGAAGTTCCAGGTATAATCAAAAACCTCTCTGCAGAAATGTGAGCTGGGATGTTTCAGGAGAGCAGAGTCTGTGCGAGCTTCTCAATGAAAGCGCATCAAGTGTGGCTGTACTTAAGCACCGTGCAGCCTCCCCTTTGCTTTTTTTTCTTTACTGTGTGACAGCCTGTGATTGGCTGATTACAAGGGCTGGCAGAAAGAGGAAACCTGCAGTCTTATTTAGTTGGAAACGGTGTACATCTGCTCTGGTTAAAAATAGAGGTGGAAAAAAAGAATCCTGCTGAATGAGTCAGAATGCAGAGACTAATGCTTTAAAATCTAATGATAAAAATAATAAAATGGCTTTCAATTTACTCAAGGTTCGTCTCAATGTTATGTTCTTTGTAATTTTTATTTTATTTTATTTTTTGCAAATGTGTGATAAGTTAAAAGAAGAACACAAAAGGAAGCTGGTTTGAAACTTTCAAAGTTTTGAAATTCACATGAGAAATTTGCCGAAAAATAAAAAACCCACATCACCGTCTGAGTATGTGGTCAAAAACATCACGGTTTGTTCTCAGCATACATGAAATTTAAAGCGAAGCAGAGAGGATTCTTCAAACAACAACTTGCAGAAGCATGCTTATAAACAAGCAAAATGAAAAAGCAAAATAAGACAACACAAAAGACTGATTGTCCAGCGCTTGTTCAGTTTCCCACTCTGCTCATTGCCTGTGGCCTATTAGGGATGAAATGCAAGAAGTAAACATTTCCAAGCAAACATTTTATGGGATCTGTACTAACAGTGCCATACAGAAGGCTTTCTCTTCCCTATTTTGTCACAAAAATTTCACCAGAATATTCTACAGCACAAAGAAGTGTGTAAACATGAAGTGGGTCAAATGTTGCTGTTGGAATTTATTCTTTATTTCTTCATCCATTTGAATCTTGTTAGTTTATTCTTGAATTTGTATTTTTTGCATTATTTACAGACTTTATTTGAGGGTTAATAATTGTTGATTTTATTTATGTTTCGTTTTATTATTTTTCTTATTTATTCTTTTTGAGCCAGACAGGAAGTAACGTGGGTCAGTCCACTTTCTATAAATGTAGGGGCCTGGTGAAGGACCAGCAGGCGTTTGGGTTTGAGGCCTATGGCTTTTACCAAGTGCAAGAGAGGAAGCCAGGAGAACAAAGGAAAGTTAGAAAGTTGTCATTTCTATCTGAAAAAGAAAATAAAAGCAACCAAGACAGTCAACAACTTTGGACATTAAACTTCTTTTGCCTGCATGAAGAATCTTGACCTCAGTGCCTCATAATGGCTGATAGAACCTTTTATTGGATGTTTGGTTTGACAAAACAATCACCACTATGGTTGCTGATCAATTTCAAACTTTCTTGAAACTTAAATCCTGGAAATCCTCAGTATGTGACTCAGTATGTTCTATCTAGAACCACCTTTCTCTGCAGTTGCAAAGCCAGGCTTTTCATTCAAGTACCGATGGCTCCGGCAACGCCGATGCATTGGTGCATGTGCCAGTGGGTCGGTGCGTGCATGGCTTTCAGCCGTGACCGATACAGGAACTGTTTCTAAATAACACTTGGTGGCAAACTGTGTTTCTAAGGAAGCAAATCTGTCAAACGAGACCCATTTGCCAAAAGGATTCTTGATCTTTTACGGTATACAATCAACTATGGAGCCTCAAGACGAACGAAAGTTTTCGCAGTTTGGGACCATTTTGATCTTACATCAGAAAATAAGGTGTTGGCTCTCACTTGGTTGTTGTTTCATCCGGTTCTTTTAGGTTTCTACTTGATCTGTCTGAATCCAAATTCAGCTGAAGTTGACTCTTAGTTTACGTTCATATTATGTTCTACAGGTTAAGTGATGCATATGTTTGACAGAACTGTCTTATTTAAATAAATCCACCTCCTCCATGCTGAGGCATCATAGGGCCAGGCATCAGATAAACTCAGCCATTCTACACTGTTGCTTTTTTTAAATCAATTATTTCATATAAATGTATTGTTTACTTCATTGTTTCTACAGAAGGAGAAGTCGTGTCAAAAAAAGTGTAACAGGGTCAGTTTCAAAATGTTGGAGAAACTTATTTTTTTGAATGAAAATTTGTGAGAAAAAAAAACTTGAATTGTCACTTTATGGTGCATGTTCACATTATTTATTGAATGTATCTAAAAATATCAAATATATATTTTAATTTAACTAAAGATATAACATAATACAGCATATAATATTCAATAAAATACAATGATTTAAGTCTTATTGTATGGACTAGGTCATCAAACCAGTCTGTGGTCGCGCCACTGAGGAAGTGGTGGCCGCGGTCGGTACTGCACGCTTCGCCGGTAACGCGCCAAGTTCACATCCAAACGTCCAAAGCTCTGGAAGTTGAGTTAGCAAAACTATGTCTCAAAAAAGGACTTGTCCTTCAGAAAGAGAGAAAAGAAACAGGAAGAATAGAAAAAAGCCAAGATAAACGTTTGTTTTAATGTGCCTTGGTAACGCAATGTGAAAGATTTTGTAAAGCTGCGAATAGAAAATGAGCTTGAACGGTTCGCTCTTCTTTTGTGGAGGGCAGAGAATGTGTTAAGATGCAAACCTACTTTCACCTTTTGGTATTTGCAGCTTTGTGGTTAGGGGCACATGATTATAGTGAAATTGAGAACAGTGTGACTGAAAGAGGAAGTGACATCCATATTGGTAAAGCAAGCCCAGGAGAAGAGCCACAATGTTGCATGGATCAAAAGCATCTGAAGTCATCGCTGGCTCCCTCTCCTCTTTGCCTAAAATGTGTTGTTTTTGCCCCAAACAGTCTTGAAGAAATAGGTTGAATTCATTTTAACTAAGGGTATCATTAAAAATCAAAACTGCTGATATAATTTTAGATTCATCTAATGTTTTTTATTATTATTATTATCTTTGCATTTTAAAGAAGTTGTTTTGATCTCATGGGGTCAAGTGTCCCCTATGCAAGTCAATGACAAGAGAAAGTCAGAAAAAGATGCTAGAGAGAACCAGATAGTGAGTGTTTGTCTTCTCAGAAAGGATTGTGTTGTTTGCTCTTACTGGGAAAACCAATACAAAGTGTTGGTCGACCATAAATGTCTGAAGGACACAGAGATGAACAAAGCCTGAAAAACATATTTACTGTGAGAAACGTGATGATGAGTGTCTTCCTTCACTGACGCTCCCTTACAAAAATTAAATATTGAAATATATACATATATATATAAGGTGGTTTCTGACATATTTAGATAAAACTGGATTTTATTGGATCTTTTTGAGGAGGTTGAACCATGCTTTTCTATTTCAAACACAAATGTTTCAAGTGAAGTTAGATGTTCATCCATTAATGGTATAATTTCAAGCAACAAACACTGTTATCGAGTAAGTAAAGAAATGTTTTCTGTCATATTTGGGATTCCTTGCTATGAAACAATTGAATTTTTCCAAACACCACAAGGTGTAGAGTTTTGGCCTATATCATGCTTTTGGAAGTAACTTTAAGTCTTTCTTTCAGAAACAAACAGCCAACGTTTGTCATGTATACATAGCTCAGGTTTATGTTCCTGTTTTACTCATACAGTCAGCAGCTTTCCTGTGACTAAGCATGTCAGGAAAATGGAGAAAAATTGTCCCCCTTTCTAAGAATATCCACCTGATGTCCAACACAATACTCATAAACCTCTTTGACAACCAGGAATGATTTTCAACAATCCTGCTTTAATGTGACAATCAAAAGAAGAAATACTGAAGAATCTTTACCAGGTTCTGAAACAATTTAAAGCCGACTATAAGAGTTCAGAACAACACACCTCGCATTCGTCCTGGTCAGTATATGTCAACATAAATGGGAAAAAAAAGAAAGAAAAGCAGCAGCATACTGACTGTATTAAGAGTGTATTCTCATAGAGCTTTTGAACAGTGAATTGAGGGAAGCTGAATCTTTTCTTTTCTCTTGCGGAAAAATTGAAACCCTTCACGTGAAAGTCTGAATTTTGGGGAGCTTGTTTGTGCCCCATCTACCCCCATCCGTCCTGTCCTACCATCAGGGTTGGCATCACCTGTGAGATGTTTCCTAACGAGAGTTTCAGGTGAGGTGCGAAAGCTTTTGAAACCCACTGAGGAGGAGATTGAGAGCTGCACTGAAGCGTTTCCTTCATTGTCCGAAATCACAATGTTGCCGACCTGAAAAGCGCCTCTCATGTTCGAGATGCTTGATTTAGATTAAACAGCTGAGTGTTGGTAGAAGAAGCTGCCTCTCCTTTTCTCTGCCATGCGTTTGCTGCTGTTTTATGTCAACTACGAAGAGCTCTCCATACTCTTTGCTGCACTTGGCTGCATAAAACCTGCTGCTTAGTTCTTGTTTCGGTGGTTTTATCTGATTGGACCAGCAGTCTTTTAAAGGACTGGGAGAAAAAGAACAAGAAAAAAAGTCAGAAATATAGGGTTAAAAATAAGAATTAGAGGGAAAAAAAGTGATTTTACAATTGCTGTGGGAATTATAAAATCTTTGTCCAAAGATCAAAGGTCATGGAGACGCATGTGATGAGGCTTCTCTCCCATCTCATCACACTCCAGGAACAAGCATTCAAGCATAAATCCTGGAGCACTTGTTGAGAAACGTCCTCTGATTACAAAGTGCATTTAGGTGGGTCGTCTTCTTTGACCTTCGATTGGGACATTATTTTGGCATTTTTTTATTGTAAAGCAGGAAGGCTGGCCTGTCATTAACCAAAGCAAATAAAACCCCTCCTGGCCTCAAAGGTACACTCAAAGTGGCAGTTTCGATGTCTTTTTTGTTTTTTTGGTGTCATCTGCAGAAATGAATTGTGCTTGACTAACTAACTAACCATCTATAATAAATTGTTTTTTGTGTGTGTGTGTTTTGCCACACACACAAAAAGTTGACTCGCATGAAGCAACGCCTCTTCAGATGCTTTCATTTTTTCCAAATAAAAGCTAAGTTAAAGGATTTATTCAAGATATGCAAAGTGCTTATCTTGAATAAATAATGAGGACAAGAATCTAAATGATGAGGATGTTCTCTCTCTCTGCGTCAGGTCTGGGATTCTTTGGGAGAAGGCCAGG